AAGCTAAAGGCATCACGCTACACAACTTCAAACTCAACTGCAAGGCTATGGTAACCAAAACATCATGGTAGTAGTACAAAAACAGACACATAGACCAATGGAACCGAATATAGAACTCAAAAATAAGACTGCACATCTACGGCCATGTGATCTTCAACAAAACTGACAAAAACAAGCAGTGGTGAAAGGCTTTGCTGTTTAATAAATGGTCTGGGGAGAACTGGCTAGCCATATGCAGAAAATTGAAACTGGACACCTTCCTTACACCTTATACAAAAGTTAACCTAAGATGGATTAAAGACTTAAATGTAAAACCCAAGACTAGAAAAACCCTAGAAGAAAATCTAGGCAATACCATTCAGGACATTAACATGGACAAAGATTTCATGACAAAACGTTAAAAGCAATTTAACAAAAGCAAAAATTGACAAATGGGACCTAATTAAAATAAAGAGCTTCTGCATAGCAAAAGAAACTGTCATCAAAGTGAACAGACAAACTCAGAATGGGAGAAAATTTTTGCAATCTATCCATCAGACAAAGGTGTAGTACCCAGAATCTACAAGGAACCTCAACAAATTTACAAGAAAAAAATAACCCAATTTAAAAGTGGTCAAAGGATATGAACAGACACTACTGAAAAGAAGACATACATGCAGCCAACAAACATATGAAAAAAGCTCAACATCCCTGATCATTAGAGAAATGCAAATCAAAACCACAATGAGATACCATCTCATGCCAGTCAGAATGGTAATTATTAAAAGGTCAAGAAACAACAGATGCTGGAAGGCTGTGGAGAAATAGGAACACTTTTACACTGTTGGTAGTTCAACCATTGTGGAAGACAGTGTGGTGATTCCTCAAACACCTAGAACCAGAATTAGCAGTTGATCCAGCAATCCCAATACTGGGTATAAGCCCAAAGGAATATAAATCATTATATTATAAAGATACATGCACACATATGCTCACTGCAATACTATTTACAATAGCAAAGATGTGGAATCAACCCAAATGTCTATCAATGACAGACTGGATACACCATGAAATACTATGCAACCATAAAAAGGAGTGAGATCATGTCTTTTGCAGTGACATGGAGGGAGCTGGAAGCCATTATCCTCAGTAAACTAACACAGGAACAGAAAACCAAACACTGTATTGTCTCACTTATGTGGGAGCTGAACAATGAGAACACATGGACACATGGTGGGGCAACAGCACACACTGGGCCCTGTCAGGGGGTTTCAGGGAAGGAGAGCATCAGAAAGAATAGCTGGGCTTAATACCTAGGTAATGGGTTGATCTGTGCAGCAAACCACCATGACACAAGTTTACCTGTATAACAAACTTGCACATCCTGCACATGTATCCTGGAACATAGAATAGGACAGGACAGGACAACCAATCTACAACTTACAGAACCATCAGATGGTTTACTACCCTTTCTTTCTTTCTTCTTTCCTTCCTTCCTTCCTTCCTTTTTCTCTTTCTCTTTCTCTCCTTTCTGCTGGGCTGTAATATTCTTCATGGCAGGGTATATTTTACTCTCAGTATCCCAAGTCCCTAATTGTTCCTGGTTCATAAAGTGCACTTAGTAAATATTTGTTGAATGGATATGTGTATCACTGATCGTCAAACTTGCTGTTTAATAAGAAAATGCCTATTACAAAGCACCATATTCAACAGATAAAATCTGTATAACTAAAAAGTAGAATTTTCTTCTCAGAAACTAACATATTTTTAAAAGACCGCTTTTGTAAGATTATTTCCAATTCACACCTTAAAGTGCAGCTTATCACAAAAAATAAAAAATAAAAAATCTCATCTGAGACCCATAAAGCTGAATAAAAAGCAGAAGCAGCAATCTCTGTCATTCTGCCTAGTTAACACTGGTTGTGACAATGATTTATATATATATATATATATATATATATATATATATATATATATATGTATGTATGTATGTATGTATATTTGAATGACTAGGTCAAGACCTCAATGAAAATGAGTTACAAATTTATATTTCAATTGTAAGTGAACGGTGAATCACATATAATCCTTTTTAAGTGTTCACCCACAATTTGAATTGAAAATTCTACGTAGCACTAAATAATCTCCAAGGTTTGTTAAACTTTGAAAATTTTGTTATTTTGATTGACCATGAGAAGAAATGGCATATTAATAGTATAAGGAGCTTTATCTTTTTCTTAGGTGCCTGTGACACTCATTAGTCTTAGAATGAAAACCCTTTGGGGTTGTGCCTTTAAGTCAATTCATTGAACATCTCTGGAGCAGCCACTGGGATTGGAGTAAAAGTGCTAAATTTAATAAGTTGCAATGACCAGAAACTCACAATCTTCTGAAGGATACATGTAATCATTATAAAGTGGTTTAGAGATGCTAGCTTCTGTATCTCACATATTGAAGTCTGGAGGTAGGCATGCTAGGGTTTTTACAGCAGCTCTACATTGTCATCAGGGACTTGACTCTTTTTTTTCTTCTCATCTTTCTATACTTACTGCATGGGCTTGCATCTTCATAGTTCAAAAGTGGCTACAGCACCTCCCAATCCCCAGTGTCAGCCCAGCTCCCTGCTGTAGCCATGTTCTAGGTAGAAAAAAGGTAGTTAGGTAAAAGCTTTTTTCTCTTAAGGCTTTATCTCTTTATCTTTTTATCTTTTTATTTGTAAGAGGAAGCCTGCCCCAGGGACTTCTTCCTACCCCTGATTGGCCAGAATTATATCATACGACTACTCCTACCCACTTAAAAAGGGGATTGTGGATAGCAGTTAGGACAGCCAAGCAGCAGCATTTGCAATTACTACTTTCTATTAACTCTTTGGGATATAGACTTTTATGTCACCAAGGAAAAGGCCAAGTTATTTATATACAAAGAGATAATACTCCAAGAAGTTCCTTCTTGTCATTAAATTATGCATTTATTTTATTTATTTTTTTTTTGAGACGGAGTTTCACTCTTGTTACCCAGGCTGGAGTGCAATGGCGCGATCTCGGCTCACCGCAACCTCCGCCTCCTGGGTTCAGGCAATTCTCCTGTCTCAGCTTCCTGAGTAGCTGGGATTACAGGCACGCGCCACCATGCCCAGCTAATGTTTTGTATTTTTAGTAGAGACGGGGTTTCACCATGTTGACCAGGATGGTCTCGATCTCTTGACCTCGTGATCCACCCGCCTCGACCTCCCAAAGTGCTGGGATTACAGGCTTGAGCCACCGCGCCCGGCTATGCATTTATTTTTTTATGTCCATCTCCCACTTGGCTAAATTATGCATTTATTTAACAAATATTTATTTTTTGTTGGCTAATATGTATCAGATGCTGTTCGAGGTATTGGGGACAAAAACAGTAAACAAGAGAAAGTTGCTGCTGTCATAGAGCTTTATATTCTATTGAGAAGAGGAAGGCAATAAACAAATATAAATATATACATTTATATTTACATATTATATATGGTTATGAATATCCATATTATGGATGTACATGGGTACGTATATAGCTATGAAGAAAAGAAAAGTAGGGTAAGGGAAATAAAGAGCGATGGTAGATATTATTCCATATAGAGTGTTCAACAAAGTTCTCTCTGATGAAGTGATATTTGAAGAGAGACCTGAAAGAAGTGATGGATAGATGGAGAAATGAGGGACTATCTGGGCTAGAGTGGTTCTAGCAGAGGAAACACAAAGTACAAAGACCCTGATGAGAGATGAATTTGGCATGATCAAGTAAAAGAAAGGAACCAGTATGACTAGAGCACAGTAAACAGAGGGAATGTTAGCAGGACAATGGGAGCCATAATATGTTGGGCCTTATAGGCTATGGCAGAGATTTTATTGTTAGGGATGTGGAAAGTCATTAGAGAGCTATGAGCAGAGATTAGCACAATTCAGTGATTCAGAGAATCGTTTTAACTGCTGTGTGTAGAATAAATTGAAGTATGACAAGGATAGAAGCAAAGAGACCAGTTAGGATGCTATTCAATTTTTCAGGAAATTAATGGTGGTTCTAACTATTATTATTATAATAGTTGGAAGTGATGAGTAATGAGCAGTTGCAAGATATATTTCAAAGATAGTTTAAATATACATAAGAATCAAGGATCCTGCAAGGTTCTAGCTTAATAACTGGAAGAATGGAGTTGCTATTTACTGAAATAGAAACTGCAAGAGAATAAGACATTGTATGGGTGGAATTGGAGGATGGGGAATTTAAGAGTTTGTTTCTGGACATTTTAGGTTTGAGTTGCTGGTTACACATTCAAATGCATGTTGGATGATATAAAAATGTAGAATTAAGGGTAGAGGTTGAGATTGGAGATATAAAATTGGTAGTTTTAATGTATGCATTATTTGAATGCTTTGGGACTAAATATGGTCACCTGTGGAGTCAATAGCTAAATAATAATCTTTCTCCATGACGTTTTTCAGAGGACAGAACATTTCCTATAATATCCTAAATAAATTGATGTTTGGGGTCTTCATTTTACTAACTAGTGCATTAAGTATTCAGAGTTTAGGGTAGTGGTTGACGACATGAATTCTGAAGCCAAAACTACCTAGGATTGAATCTTAGCTCTTCTGTTACTAGCTCTGTGATTTAGAAAATGATACATAATTTCTCTAATCCTCTCTCTTTTCTCATCTATAAATAAGGATAATTATGGTGCCTCACCATAAGGCTGTTGTGAGGATTAATTAGTTAATTTAGTACAGTGTCTTGACACATAGGAAGCGCTCAAAAAAGATTAGTCAATGTCATCGTTAAATTTCACTAAGTTTTGACACATGATATAACATTGATAACTTGATTTAGTGTTCAACCAGAGCAGGCTATATTTTGGAGGCAGGAGAAACAGTTTCTCACCTGCTAATGTTCGTTTGGGGACATTTAAAATTTGGAATTGTGATATTTATAAGTCACTGCCACTTTTTATTCAGTGTTACAGCATCATATTCTCAGTTAATTATCTTACTGTTTAGGTCACAGTGCTGTTGATATCACCAAGGTGGCTAGAAGACATCGCATGTCTCCTTTTCCTCTGACATCTATGGACAAAGCCTTTATCACAGTCCTGGAGATGACTCCGGTGCTTGGGACAGAAATCATCAATTATCGAGGTACTATTATGTTTGACCATTGCCCTTTCTTTTCTTCATTTTTTTTCCAAATAAGATTAATGTAACATTAATGCACAGTTTCCCTGAAAAAGAAAGATTATTAACCATTATCACAATTATCATCATTCTTTTGCTTCTTATTTAAGAAAATGGCTAAAAACCAGCCTTAACAGTATATTTAGTGAAATCCATTAAAAAACTGCCTTTTCATTTAAAAATGGAAGAAAATCAGCTGTGTTTCTGCTGTCTATCAAAATATCAATACTGCAGACTAAAGAAAGGGTTCTCACACTGAGTGGGGAAAATAGTTAACACTGAGTCTATCTGATGTATTTTCTGTCAGAAATGGGAGACAACTA